AGCCTGGGAGACAGCTCCGCTGTGGGGCGTTCCACACAGGCCTGGGCCTCACTGTGCGCAGAGCCGGCCTGACCACAGGATTTCAGGAGAAACCTGAGATCCCGGGCAGAGACAGATGATCATGCTCAGTGCCAACCAGGAGCTTGGTGATGTGAACACGCCGTGTGCCCAGGAAACACTGAGGAATGTCTGGGGGCATCTGTGGGTAACCTGGGGCAGGTGCTACTTGCCTTTGGTGGGTGGAGGCCAGGAATGTGACTCAGCACCCCTACAGTGCACGGCACAGCCTCCCACCCCAGAGAACAATCCAAGTCCACATGTCTCAGTGCTTCGATTGAGGAGTCTGCCCTAGAACCTCCCATGGCTCCCCAGTGCTTCAGGCTGAAGTCTCAACTTCTCAGCTCAGAAGGCTGTACTTAGAGTCCTGTACTTAGGACCCCTGGCCCTCTCCAGCCAGGATGTTCAGCACTCCTGCCTCTGTGTCCCGCCTGAGGTCACTCTTGTGTCCTGGGCAAGGACTCGACTGTCTGTTGCTAAGTGCATGGTCCGCAGCTCCTCCTATGCCCTCGTGTACAGAGTGGAGCCCACAGGGTTTTTATGGTTGGGACCATTCGGAGGTAGATTGCCAGGCCTTTCTTCTGTGGTGCCAAGGTAGCTGGCACCACAGCAGCCTTTTTGGTTAGTAGCTGAAAGCTTAGCTGTTTGTACTACCCAGGAAGCTCATAGGTCTAAATCCTGCACCTATCAGCTGTGTGGCTTTGGCCAAATCCCCTTGCCTCTCCAAGCCTTGGTTTTTCCATCTCTAAAATGGGTATGAAGGAGACTCTCTGAGCGTTCAGGTGCTCAGGAGAGAATCTGCCTGGCACAGACTGAAGAGTCCACACACACTGGATGGGCTGTTGTTATGTAGTTTGGGTTCCACTTCTAGGCTCTTCTACACACTTGGAAAGCCTTTTCTTCTGAAAATTACTTTGTCAAAATTCCCCTTTTCAAGGATAAACTGGTGTGTGTGATCCCTCAGATCTGAGGGGCCTCCCAGAAGAAAGGTGTGTGGTCCCCACTGTGGGGCTGGGAGCCAGGGCTTGAGGACAAGGCCAGCTTCCCCTGAAATGATCTGGATGTCACCAGCAGCCCAAGCTCAGAAAGGCCCCTTAAGTTGGCTTCACCCTGGTGGCCTAGCGGGTTGCACACTAAGAGGTGTGTGGTTCAAGTCCACTAGACGCTCTGCAAAAGAAAGACGGGTATTCCCCTCCGGTCAAGATTTCCTGCCTTGGGCCCTGACGGAAGGTCTCTGTGAGTAAAGGGGTTGGCTTGGGGAGGTCACTGTCCTCAGGTCTCTGGTGGCACAGACAGTCACAGTTCACGCCTGGCTCCTCAGAGTCTGTCTTTAAAATGTGGACATGAGGCTACACCGCAATCACACGTAGGTCATTTATTAGGGGGAAATGGGCCTTTTTGTTCACCGTGGATTTCTTTGCATTGCTTTTTGAGTTTTTTAAGCATTGCATGAAAGAACATTATACAGAGAGAGACTAGTTGGCCTAGTGGATTGAAAGTGATGCTACCAAGCCGAAGGTGGGTGACTCTAATCCGCGGCCCTCAGGCCTGCCTTTCATTGTTTTTGGTGAAACATTCTTCTAGGTCGTATAGCCCTGGTGTGTCCACTTGCTGTACAGAGGTAACTTGTGGTTGCTGTGAAGTTGAACACTGTGACCTTGATGTGTCAAATGTGCTAACGGTTACCCACGGTGGACAGTGTTTGGTGGAGTTCCCTGATTAAAACAAGCGTGGAAGCAGGAGTGGCATCCACTTGCGTAAACAGCTTGTCTCCGGAAACCCTATGAACCTGGAGAAAGGATGACAGTCACACAAGTGTCGAGGACTTTCATTCATAGGGTTGCTGTGAGTCACCTATGATTCGATGGCACTTAACAACAATAACATGAAAGAATTGTTTATGTTGATGATTGACGTTTTTGTTTGGGGAGTTCTTTTGGAAGGCTGTCCTGTTAAGTGTTGCCCACTCATGCCCACCCTAGTCCTGCCCCCTCACTCCCCAGGATGGAGACTGGATTTATGCTCCATTCTATAGCTTGGACCACGTGAGGCCCAGAGGAGTCACAGTCATCGTGGAGGGCGCCTGTAGGATGAAGAGGATGATGATGGGCACGTGTAACCGACCCGTCTGTAGTGCTTCACCGGAGCCATGTCAACATACCTGGGCGGTGTAAACCCAGGGCTGGACCACCCAGGAGCACTGAGGAGAAAGGCCGGGCAGTCTGCTTCCATACCATGACCTCCTGGGAGGCCCCTAGCGCTCAGTCCACGTCTGTGGTTTGTCTCCAAGCTGATCTTACACCCGTGTTCACTCGGACACTTCAGTCTGTTTGATGAGTAGCCAGCAGGATGTCAGGACCCCTCCTTTTCTCCTCTGCTCATCCCTTCCAGGGCTCCCACCTTCCTGGGGGAAACATCCCCCTCCTCCCTACAGCCCACAGGGCCTGCGTCACCTCCCTCTCCCCTCCTCCTGGGACTTAATTCCCGGTTTGCAGGGCCCAGGCCGCTGGGTGGACAGCACGGCTGCTCCACGCTCAGGCGCAGCGGAGATGGAGAGAGGTGAGGACGGAGCTGGACGGGAGCAGGACGGTCGTGATAGAGCCACCTCAGCAGCACCTGTGACATCAGTCCCCTGGGGGGCCGCCGTTAGGTGCTTGGCTGTTACCTGGAGGTCTACTCTGCCGGAGAAAGACAAGGCAACTGCTGTCAATGTGGTGAAAATCGATGCTGCCTCAGGAACCCGACGGGGCACCCTCACCCGAACCTTACAGGGTCACCAGGAACCCGATGGGGCAGCCTCACCCTCACCTTACAGGGTCACCCTGAGTGGAAATGCACTCTATGGGAGTAGGCTGGGTTTGGGGTTACTCTGGAATGCAAAGTAAAGCCATGGATCCCTTTGGTAAAGAATTATTAAAAATGTTACTATAGCCACGGCTGAGCATTAAGTTAAGGCAGGCGCTGGTGGGCATGAGGCCCTGTGTGCTGCCTCTGCCGGCCTGCCTGTGCTGGGACAGACCTACCTCAGGGCCTTTGCACAGGACGTTTACATAAGTGCCACCCTCAGCTCCCTCAGTCCCCTTCTTCTGGTGTTTTCTGAGGGTCCTCTATTTGGGAGCCCTCTCTAGAGTTGGCTGTTTTGGGGTGGGTTTTTTGGAGGGTATTTTTTAATAACTGAAATAGAAGATTAAAACTCTCAGTATCTGGAGGAACCACTTGGTTTTGCCTGTCTTGTAGCTCTCCTCAAACTTGACCTTGGCTTCCGCCTCCTTGCATTTAACAGCAGGGTCTCTGAAGACATCCTTGTTAATGATGGTTTTGTCCAAGGGGATATCCACGGAGGACCTTGTGGGCATGAGGTGACTGTAGTTATAAACTTTCACAAGGACTTGATCTTTGACCTCTTGGCGGATTTTTTTTTCTTGCCCATGACAGCTGTCACTTTTCGGGGATAGCGGTCAGTCCCAGCTCCCAGGCGTGGCTGTAGGGGAGGTCGGCGGTGCCATCATCAGTGTTCTTGACGATGACGGCTTTGCGTCCAGAGTACCGTCCGGCCAGGACCAGCACCACCTTCCCTGGTTTCATGAACTTCCCCATTTCGACAGCAACCATGCAGACCAACAACAAAAAGAAGACTTGGCTGTTTAAAATTACGCCCTCTCCTAACATCTAACAAGCTTTGGTGGCAAAGTGCACAATGCGTCAGACTGAAAAAGGTCAGTGGTTCAAATCCATCAAGTGCTCTGAGGGAGAAAGACGGGCACTCTACCTCACTAAAACATACAGCCTGAGAGAGCTGAGGCAGGGTGGCCAGGGGTCAGGGATGGCCTTGATGCCACCGAGTTTGACAGGGTGCTCATCTGACCTGTCAGAGAGGAGGCCTCTGGAATGGTCTGTGTCATCAAATGACAGCATTCAGCCCTCACCCCACGCCGGGAGCGAGGCACCATCATGGTGCTAGACGCTGTCAAATCGGACCAGGGCGGCCTCACGGAGGTTCCAGTCTTTAAGGCAGCTCCGTGGGTTAAGCGTTGTCCTGCTAACCAAAAGTTCAGCAGTGGAACCCACTAGCGTGTCTGAAGGCAGATGAGGTGGTTTGTTTTCTGAGATGACAGCCTTGGACGCTGTTGTGGCCTGCCCTGCAGGGTCGCTGTGACCAGGGGTCACTCCCAGGGCAGTGGGTTTTGGGTGGAATGTCTGTGAGGGCAGATCGCCAGACCTGTCTCCTGCAGAGCAGCTGGGTAGATTCCAACCATCAAACTTTAGCTGCTGTGTTTACAAGGCTTCTTGGCACACAGTAGGCGCTCCATAAGCACTCACTGGAACAAGGCCCTGTTTAGGAGATGCACAGGAGTCCCACCGTTCTTTCTCCAGCCAAGGAAACTGAGGCTGAGAAGCACCAGCTGCCGGGCCAAGGTCACAGAGCATGTGGGTGGCACGCGTCCAGGGCGCGCCATTCTGGGGCCGCCGGTGGAGATCGGCCCAGCCCCTGTGTGCTGCTCAGAGAGATGGGGAAACTGAG